CTGATTGTTGTGTAATAATTTTTTTAGATTTTATTTTTATACTTAGTGCTGTTAGTGAGGTCCTCCTTTTTTTTCCCCCTGCAAAATAAAAATTATAATTTGGATATTAGGTAGATGGCGAGAATATTTTGAGGAACTTTTAAATGTTGAGGAAGAAAGGGAGGTGGTAATTTCATGCACTGGCCAGGGAGGTATACCATCTTTTAGGAGTGAAGAAGAGCAGAATGTAAGTGTGGTGGAGGTACGTGAGGCATTACATAGAATGAAAGGGGGTAAAGCAGCTGGAACTGATGGGATCATGACAGAAATGTTAAAAGCAGGGGGGGATATAGTGTTGGAGTGGTTGGTACTTTTGTTTAGTAAATGTATGAAAGAGGGGAAGGTACCTAGGGATTGGCGGAGAGCATGTATAGTCCCTTTATATAAAGGGAAAGGGGACAAAAGAGATTGTAAAAATTATAGAGGAATAAGTTTACTGAGTATACCAGGAAAAGTATACGGTAGGGTTATAATTGAAAGAATTAGAGGTAAGACAGAATGTAGAATTACGGATGAGCAAGGAGGCTTCAGAGTGGGTAGGGGATGTGTAGATCAAGTGTTTACATTGAAGCATATATGTGAACAGTATTTAGATAAAGGTAGGGAAGTTTTTATTGCATTTATGGATTTAGAAAAGGCATATGATAGAGTGGATAGAGGAGCAATGTGGCAGATGTTGCAAGTTTATGGAATAGGTGGTAAGTTACTAAATGCTGTAAAGAGCTTTTATGAGGATAGTGAGGCTCAGGTTAGGGTGTGTAGAAGAGAGGAGAATACTTCCCGGTAAAAGTAGGTCTTAGACAGGGATGTGTAATGTCACCATGGTTGTTTAATATATTTATAGATGGGGTTGTAAAAGAAGTAAATGCTAGGGTGTTCGGGAGAAGGGTAGGATTAAATTATGGGGAATCAAATTCAAAATGGGAATTGACACAGTTACTTTTTGCTGATGATACTGTGCTTATGGGAGATTCTAAAGAAAAATTGCAAAGGTTAGTGGATGAGTTTGAGAATGTGTGTAAAGGTAGAAAGTTGAAAGTGAACATAGAAAAGAGTAAGGTGATGAGGGTATCAAATGATTTAGATAAAGAAAAATTGGATATCAAATTGGGGAGGAGGAGTATGGAAGAAGTGAATGTTTTCAGATACTTGGGAGTTGACGTGTCGGCAGATGGATTTATGAAGGATGAGGTTAATCATAGAATTGATGAGGGAAAAAAGGTGAGTGGTGCGTTGAGGTATATGTGGAGTCAAAAAACATTATCTATGGAGGCAAAGAAGGGAATGTATGAAAGTATGGTAGTACCAACACTCTTATATGGATGTGAAGCTTGGGTGGTAAATGCAGCAGCGAGGAGACGGTTGGAGGCAGTGGAGATGTCCTGTCTAAGGGCAGTGTGTGGTGTAAATATTATGCAGAAAATTCGGAGTGTGGAAATTAGGAGAAGGTGTGGAGTTAATAAAAGCATTAGTCAGAGGGCAGAAGAGGGGTTGTTGAGGTGGTTTGGTCATTTAGAGAGAATGGATCAAAGTAGAATGACATGGAAAGCATAAAAATCTATAGGGGAAGGAAAGAGGGGTAGGGGTCGTCCTCGAAAGGGTTGGAAAGAGGGGGTAAAGGAGGTTTTGTGGGCGAGGGGCTTGGACTTCCAGCAAGCGTGCATGAGCGTGTTAGATAGGAGTGAATGGAGACGAATGATACTTGGGACCTGACGATCTGTTGGAGTGTGAGCAGGGTAATATTTAGTGAAGGGATTCAGGGAAACCGGTTATTTTCATATAGTCGGACTTGAGTCCTGGAAATGGGAAGTACAATGCCTGCACTTTAAAGGAGTGGTTTGGGATATTGGCAGTTTGGAGGGATATGTTGTGTATCTTTATACGTACGTGTATATGCTTCTAAAGTGTTGTATTCTGGGCACCTCTGCAAAAGCAGTGATAATGTGTGAGTGTGGTGAAAGTGTTGAATGATGATGAAAGTATTTTCTTTTTGGGGATTTTCTTTCTTTTTTGGGTCACCCTGCCTCGGTGGGAGACGACCGACTTGTTAAAAAAAAAAAAAAAAAAAAAAAAAATGGATATAGAAAATGTTAGTAAAGCAGTGGAATTTGTACTGCCTTAAGTATAATACTGCACTGTTGTTAATAAAATTATTTGTTTTCACAGGATAAGAATATATATTCATAGTACAGTGGAACCTTGGCTTACGAATGCCCCACCATACGAACTTTTCAGGATATGAACCCTCGTTCGGTCGATTTTTTGCTTCTGGATACGAACAAGATTTCAGGATATGTCCTTTCCCCTCAAGGGAGGTTCCTTGGTGAAGGACCCTTGATCTAGGGAATTTGATCTGTGCTCCGGTTCCCTAAAATAATAATTATTATTATAGTAATATGTACGTAAGAATAATAATAATAATAGTATGTATAATACAGTGGACCCCCGGTATATGATATTCCGTTCCTGAGAGCTCATCGTATGCCAAAATTATCGGAAGGCGAATTAATTTTCCCCATAAGAAATAATGGAAATCAAATTAATCCATGCAAGACACCCAAAAGTACTATGAAAAAAAAAAGTTTTACCACATGAAATATTAAGTTTAATGCACACAAACTGAAGGAGACATGCACAGTTAGTAGTACTCTACTAACAATAGAATACATGACACTTACCTTAAATGAAGATCTGGTGATGATTGATGGGATGGGAGGAGGGGAGAGTGTCAAAGTTGTTAATGTTTAGAAGGGGAATCCCCTTCCATTAGGACTTGAGGTAGCAAGTCCTTTTCCGGGGTTACTTCCCTTCTTTTAATGCCACTAGGACCAGCTTGAGAGTCACTAGACCTCTGTCGCACAAAAAATCTATTCATAGAGCTCTGTACCTCCCGTTCCTTTAAGATTTGTCTAAAATGGGCCACAACATTGTCATTGTAATAGTCACCTGCGCACGGGGCAGTTCAGGCCTCACGTGGATGCGTCCCAGACGAATCGTGTGTGGCGAGGCAAAATTTTTGCGTTAAAATGTATCATATACCGGATATAACGTATACCGATGCCATCGTGTGCTGGGGTCCACTGTATAATATTATTGTTATAATTATTATTATTATTAGTAGTACGTACGTGGTGAGGGGCTCTTGATCTAGGGAATTGGATCTGTGCTCCAGTTCCCTAAATTAATAATAATAGGTCATTTTTAGACATTTTTCGTATTTTTTTTTTTTCATATTTTTGTGCCAAATGCTTCAAAATACTAATTGGTAACTCTCTAGGTGGCTGTAGGTACAACTGCTAGACCACATCTCAATGCCGACCGAGGGTCAAAAGGAAGAGGTGTGCTGCTCTGAGTGGCCGCAGCAGACCCTTGGGACGCGTAATTTTGTTTTATATTGTACAAATTCTTATACAGTGCCTCCCCCAAAGAGACGGTATTCACGTACGATCAGCAAGAAGCTCAGGAAGCCATTAGAAACTATGAAAAAAGCTAGAGAAATGAAGAAGGCAGCAGCCAAGAATGAGGAACCTCACCACCACCATCATGTCTTCACCTATACATATATATATACATCTGCTTTGACCACACCTGTGGTTACATGTGTGACAACCTCACCACTAATCATAGATAAACACAAGCTAGTTGTGGGGTTATGGACTAGGAAGATGCTAGAGTGGGAGAGTAAATGGCGGATGCCGCCGGCATCACCATCACTTGCCATATTATGGCCAATTTTACTCATTCTAGAGTATATATCATATTTCTATGTTATTAATATTGTTTATTAAGTCATATTAGATGAATTTTGATAGATAAATAAGCCATAGAGTTGATATTAGCGTTATTTTGTCATGTCTCCTGAGAGGCTGGAACCGATTACAGTAATTGCATTTCAGTTAATTTAAATAAGACTCGCAAAATCGTAATGACACGATCGCAAACAAACCATACCATGGGCGAGGTTAGAACCCGCAATCAGAGTCTCAAAATTCCAGACATCCTAACGCGATGGTCTGGAGTTTTGAGACACACTGATCGCGGGTTCTAACCCTGTCCGTGGTATGGTTTAATTTAAATGAGGAAAATTGACTCAGCATACGAACAAATCAGGATATGAACAAGGTCATGGAACGGATTAAGTTCATAAGCCGAGGTTCCACTGTATATTATGACTTGTTTACAGCTGTATAAATACAATAAACATGTACAGGTGGGTCCCTAACTTGCAGATGCCTGAGTTCCGAAGATTTGCACTTATGATTGAGGCTATAAGAAATAATATTTAAAAAATATATAATTGTTTTTATAACAGTACATGTATATGACACAAAACCATCCTTTGTACTGTGAAAAAAAAATATACACACAACTCAAGACATTTACTAAGGGAAATATTTCAGTGTGAGTGGCTTCATCTGTCCTATTGAGGAAGCCACTCAAAACATTCCCTTCAGTAAATGTCCTGAAGTGTGTGTGTCTTTTTCCACATCTTGTTGGTACCAGCACACCATCCATTCTTATTATTGCTGTCTGTAAAAAAATAGATTCAATTACAGACAACTTGCTTGTAAGTTGGGGTACATGGAATGCAAACTATTCATTAGTTGGGGACCTCAAGAATGTGTGAAAAATTCCATTAGCAAATGCTATGTACAATACTATACGTACTAGATTGTATACTTGAAGGATTAGAAGGTTTTTACCTTAGTTATTTTAGCAGCTGCTGTTTAATTTATTATTTGTTAGCATGCTTATAGTATTCCTGGTTCCACAGGGTATTGGTGTGATTAGTTTGGTTTTTATAGCTCTTAATTTATTTTTCCCTTAGTACTAGATTTAGTTTTTATAAGAAGTTAATGGATTTAGTTGTATAAATCCTAGCATGTACATAATTTTCCAGGTAAACCCTTGAGTGTATGCTTGCATGGATTTATTTTAGTTTTGTTAACCATTTGTTTCAGTTTTCTCGATCCCGCACGCCAAGCCTTAATGGATCCTTCCGCTCCTATAGTCCCTATAACAGCCTGAACCGCAAGGTGCGTTATGAGTTTTCAGTCTTGGTTGTTTTTCTTATTTTCTCTTAAGGATATTTTATATTTTGTTGTAATTACCATAGCATCTTTACTAGTATCCATCATTTTACAGACTTAAACTTTTGAACAACAAAGTGATATCTTGGAAATTTTTGGGTACATTGAAAGCATTAGAGAAACATTGCCTTGTTTACTGTATTCCTTGATATTGACAGTAATGTGTACAACATTATGATTTTTAATCTTAATGAATTTGTTGTAAAATGTTTGCCCTGTTCACCAGTAAATGTGTCATTAAAGTTTGGTAACAGGACTGTAAACATAATTTGCAATACAGTATTTACGGTATAAAGTATAGTAAAGAATGGCTTTTAGAAGCTTCTTAGAGCTATTTGTGCAATAATAGTTTATAGTTCTTGTGTACCATAGTAACTTCAATGTTGCAACTAAGTCTCCATGCATTCTTAAACAATTTAGCAAGATTTTTTTTTTATAGAAAATAACTGTTATGAACACCCATGAAATGAATTGCAGAAATCATACAACTGGAAATAAATAAGTCTAAAAAAGCACATTTTGTTGACAGTGCAGGTGTCTGTTTGCACATCACTGATTGTACTGTATTGAAAGATATGAGAACAAGATTTTTTCTGCACAAATTAATACAGTACAAAATATCAAAATGTGTTAAAAAAATTATCATTGATTGCCAGAAAATATTGTACCAGATATATGTTAGGGAACTTTTCTTTCTTTCAACAAACTGGCCATATCCCACCGAAGCAGGGTGGCCCAAAAAGAAAAACAAGTTTCTCTTTTTAACTTTAGTAAAGTATACAAGAGAAGGGGTTACTAGCCCCTTGCTATATATTAGGGATATATATACATAAATATGTTAGGGAAAGTTGCAGACATCACAGAAATGAAATATTTATACTGTGACTAAAGATACCTTATTGTTGGGACTTATTTTTTATGCTCTCCCATTTAAAGAGCATCACTTGAGTGTACATCGGTGGGCTTGCTTCAGGCTTGGGATATTTATGTATTGGTGTGAGATAATAATGCTTTTGGTGAGGTACATCTATTATGGATGCTTTGAGAAAACTTTTCACTCCCAGGACTGAAACGTTTTCGAATAAATATGTCCTAGCATTTTCTAGCTAATTTGTCGAGCTCAGTTACCAAGGCTTATATAATACCTCTACAACAGAGCAGCCTTTTTTCTTGCATAATATTTGGCACATATACTTACTAGAGGTCATAATGCTGTTGTACATAGTAATAGAAATTGGTTTCTGCTTAACCATCACCATCTGTGTTTTTTTCATAATTATGTCTTAAGAGCACATCAGGTGCTGCAAGATCCTTTGCTTCACTGTTATAACTTGGAGACATTATTTCCTCAGTGGCAGTTTTGGCAATTTTGTTTATTCTGTCAAGAAAAAAGTAATTTACTGCCACTTTCTCATAATTTTCAACCAAATTGCCTCAAACTTACACACTTGATTTTAACTTGTATTGATTTATGGTATTCCTTTTGTGTTAATTTTAGGATTCCGACATTTTTTTATATGTATTTTTGTACATTTAATATTACTTTGTAGCCCTTGACAATAGCACTGAGAGCCGATTACATATGCTTGTGGATGATTCCTGTGATCATTGCCTCCATCAGTGTTGCTATCTCTCAAGTCGTCAAGCAGTCATACTGGTGTTGTGGTTGGATCCTTTATTTTAGCTTATGAGACCAAAGGCTTCAAAGAAAGGACCATTTAAAAAATATATATTTGTTATTAACAAGAACATGTTACATAACAAATCTGTTCAAATAGTTAATATGGTTTCTTGTTAAAGGTAGTATATAATATACAAACATGTGGCATCACTTATGCTGGGCAAAAATTTGACTATGTAAAGGTCACAGTAATATACAGTTCCTGTATATTATTGTGGCCTAAGAAAAGACACACACGTTTAACCCCCACTAAGTGCAAAGTCATGAAGCTTGGGGAAGGACAAAGAAGACTTTGGGATCAGAAGCTTCAAACTTCACGCAAGGAAAAGGATCTTGGGATGAGTATCATACCAAGCACATCTGAGATGCATATCAACCAGACAACTACTGCCACATATGGGCATCTGGCAAACCTAAGAATAGCGTAAGAAGTCATTCACTACACTGTAGATCGTGTACATCAGACACACATTGAGTATGCAGCACCAGTATGGAACCCACACCTGGTCAAGCACATCAAGAAATTAGAGAAAGAGCAAAGTTTGCAACAAGACTAATCCAAGAACTAAGGGGTATGTCCTATGAGAAGAGGTTAAAGGAACTCCACCTGATGACACTGGAGGACAGGAGGGAAAAGAGGTGTTTTAATGTCTCCTACGCTGAGTCTGGCCTTGCGATTACTTGCTGGGTAGCGTAGAGGTAGGAGGAATACTACCAATTGACTAGCTTTGGATTTATTAGATAAACAAAGGGTTCACAGCAGGCAGAGTGAGGTAGGCCAAAAGCCAGTCCAGGAGGGCAGCTGTTGACCCTAGGTGGAGAGTACACCAAATGAGAATGAGGTGGTATGGCATCACCCTGAGCTAGGCAGGCCTATACTGCTAGGTGTCGGCAGCATAGTTCCCACGAAAGATGAACTCAGCTGGCAGGCAACATAGGCTGTCTACATTTGCTCGGTTACGCCCTCGTGTCGTCTCAACACAACATTACAGGTGGGCAGAAAGGAGAAAAAACTAAAGGAATTAATCCCAGCAGGACAGGCTTTGACTCACCCAAAAATCAAAATTGACATAATTCTAGCAGGCCTCAGAAACTCCTCCATATATCTAGTGGAAGAGAAAATGGTCTGCTCCAACAGCATAGTGGAGGATGGAGGTAGGAGATGCCAGCACTGGAACTTCTTGTGTACAGGTTGTTCACAGGGGTAGGACATCAGGCTTGACTGCACATCCAGGGACACTGTACTATCCTCACATCTGTAAACAATGACTGACAGTAGCATTTCCTAGGGTGTGACATGTGACATGAGAGGGCAGCACTGCCCTGACTTTAATACAGACCTTAAAATACATGCTGCATGCAGCATACTTGCAGTGACATTATCCCCAAGGAGACTTATTATAATAATACTACGGATACCCTGGTCACAGACCAGGCCGCGGGGGCGTTGACCCCTGGAACTCTCTCCAGGTAAACTCCAGGTATACATGGTGTTGTCCACCCTGACTCTGCTGTTTGGACAAACTATACAGTGTATGCACGTTAATGCCCATTTAAGCGAGAAGACAGTTAGTGTAGTCAGGACAGGAGTCAAACAAGTTGACAGGTACGTCAATGTCACAGAAATGTACTGCTGTCCTGGGTCTCAGACCATAGGTATGTAGCCTTACAGGTCTGTCATTGGTCGTAGTAGTAGCAAGAAGAGAAGTAGACAGGTTGTCACTAGTAATAGTCTGGTTGTGGCTTTGCAACGCACGTTCCTCCAGCACAACCTCGGCTTGCATGTTGTCAGTGTACTTCATGTGGTCAAGGTGAGCTTCCTCGGTCGTTCCTATGGCAGTCTCCCTCACCTCGAACCTGTTGCCACGGAGCTGTCGGAGAACACGGTAAGGACCAACGAATTTGGGAACCAGCTTATGCATACCTGGGGTGTGCGTAGGATTTTGCAACCTGGTTCAACTTTACTCTCCAACACGCTGGGATGAGTCGCCGGGAGAAGCTGCTGACGGCTTGGGGAGTTAACTCAGTCTGGCTTAGGGTTAAGCCAACTGGGTTCCACATGGACAAGCTGGGGATCATGAAAATACAGGTAGCTCAGCAACACGTGCAGAATGCAGGCGGGACACAGGAACGAAGAGAGGAGAGAGGAGGCGGCTGGTGTGAGCTGGCATCTCCTAGGGTAGACCGGCTCCTACGTAGACCTTAAGCAGGATGCGTGTTTGGGCCCAGACACACCAAGGCAACCTCACCTTGACTTCTGTAGCTTGAAACGGGCATAAGGATGCTGTAGGAGGCAAAAGAAGGCCTCAGGGAAGTGCTGAGATGCTGCAAGACAGGAAATGAAGTGTACATGTGACTGCTGGGCCCAGGAATGACGCCGTGACGACATCGTACAAATTTTGTGGGAAAATCGAGGACGAGGTTTTTTGTCCCTGTCGCCGACAAGATGCTGTGAGCAGCTGGAAATGCTGTAAGCAGGCGGGGCGGGTGCCTTGGATGTGGCTGGATGACCGGCTCTGTTCCCTTCCATCCAGGAAGACAAGGCCCACTTTGCCGCTGAAAAAAACATTGCCACCACTGATTTAATGTCTCCTGCACAGAGTCTAGCCTTGTGATTACTTGCTGGGTAGTGTAGAGGTAGGAGGAATACGTACTACTGATTGACTAGCTTTGGATTTATTAGATAAACAATGGGGATTCACAGCGGACAGAATGAGGTAGGCCGAAACCCAGTCCGGGAGGTTAGCTGTTGACCCTAGGTGGAGAGTACGCCAAGTGAGAGCGAGGTGGTATGGCGTCACCCAGAGCTAGGCAGGTCTATACTGCTAGGTGTCAGCAGCGTAGTTCCCACAAAAGATGAACTCAGCTGGTAAGCAACATAGGCTGTCTTCAGAGGAACATGATAATGATGCATAAAATATTGAGAGGAATCGACAAAGTGGACAGGGCCAGAATGTTCCAGAGATGGAATGCAGGAGCAAGGACACTACTGAAAGTTGAAAACTCAGATAAGTCATATGAATTTTAGGAAGTATTTCTTCAGCCTTAGAGTTGTCAGGAAATGGAACAATCTGGAGAGTGAAGTAGTAAAGGCAGGAACCATACATAGTTTAAGATGCACAATAAGGCTCTTGGAGCAGGAAGAGAGTGAACCTAGTAGCAGCCAGCAAAGAGGCAGGGCCAGGAGCTGTGACTCAACCCCTTCAACCACATATAGGTGAATGCATATAGTTCATGCACATACACATACAAGCACACACAAAAAAACAGTCCCCCTCCCTCTCCCCCCTTTCTTTATTAATGTTTCTCTATTATATTTGACCCATGGAAAAATTATACTGGTAAGATGTTTGATTCATGTAAGTAAAGGACTTACTCCGTGTGCTATGCTACACTTTTTCATTTCCTTCACTCAGAAAAAAAATCCCAGAAACAAGCTGACTACTGCAATGTGTTCATTCCATGCAGTATTCTCACACAGCTAACTTGTCTTTATTAGAATTAAGCTCCAGCTCTTCTCTCCCATCTCTTAATCATTAATCAACTAGTTTGATGTTTTTTAATATTTTTTTTTGTTTTTGCAGGGCTTGTGAAGACTTATCAGCTGTGTTATTAATTCTTCTTTTTGTTGAAGATTTATGTGTGTAGATAGTTTATTCAGTCTTGGATAATGCTGTTGAAATTTGACTAATGTAAAACTATATTAAAACAAAAAGGCATTTACAACATGCTAAGTAATGTTCTTCAGTATTTTACAACATGATTAATTTTATAATGTAAGAATTAATACAAAAAAAGAATAACATTATACAAAGTGTGATACTAAAATAAAATTAATTACAGTATTGTGAATTTTTATTGTATGAACACTTGGATTGCAAAACAGTGAAGGCATTGTCTTTGCAAGCTGGCCTCTTATAATTCAGACTCTCGAAGGGTATCATGTAAACAGGGTAGACAAGGTAGGCTTTTTACCAGGGAAGCTCTGAGGATAAGGGAGAATGGTTGAAAATATTATTCCAAAATGAGCCACCAGGATATCGAGAAGCCCTTCTTCAACGTGAGTTGTCAAGAAGCGAGGTGATGTGAGCAGTGTCACATGATGAATGCTGACTCCAGATAGAGGTTCAAAATCAATACGAGTTCAGTTTACTGTCATATTTGAAATGACCCATTTTTAAAATTTAAGGGCACAAGAATGGAGGAATGCTGCAGCAAGCCTACCAGCCTATTTTAGGCAGGTCCTTCTCAAATCCAAACCCACTGACAAAAAATATTTGCCCAACCATCAGTAGATAAAAAATTGAGTAACTAGATTAAGAGCTGGAGCTCACCTTCATCCTCTGCAAATTCAAATAACTTGTAGGCAATTGCATATCTTTCAATGGGAGATGGCCAATGTTAAAAAACATCTTTCTAATGCTTTGTGTTAGGCAGTATTTCCTTTGGCAGTGTGCATTTCACTTTTAAGGGCTTGATGCATCAGAAATTTGTTTTGTAGGGTCAGGCAGTCAATTAGAAGTATCTTTCGGTGCTTTATGGCACTGCAAAACAATTTTGGTTGACACTTTGTGAAACAAATATATGTTGCCACTCTAACCCTTCATCATGAAATGTACAGCATGTCATAGGTATGGTTACATACTCCCACCTACATCACTGTATGTACTGGAAAAGTTGTTTTGACAGCCTTTGAGGGACTGATTCATTAGATACCCAGCAAGCATTCAAATGCAACATTTCACATTTGCAACCCTTAATGTTTGTTCAGTGAAGATAGTCTCTGAACAGTCTCTGATCACAGCTCATAAGTGTTAAATTTTTATTTTAGTCCTTTGTTAAATATTAATAAAATTATATAAGAGCCTTCAGGAACTTGTATATTTTTGAAAATTTGTTTTTGTTTCAGTAGGATAACTATATAAATAATTAAAAAAAATGTTCCTTGTGTGCAGTGCATTATTTACATTTGATTCATTTTTATGTTATTTGTTTATTACTCAAATTGGCCTATTTTCTGGATACTGGATTTTTCTCTCACTAGAGAAAGCTAAGTAAATCTATTCACTTCAGTTCTCAGGTCCATATCGCACATGCTCACCTGGATTGATCCTGCGTGAGTACAAGTCCTCTCAAAGCCCTATTGACATCACACGCATCTATACATACTCTTATCTTGCTGCTGAGCCTTCACAAGGGTACCTCAAACGCCCGTTGGACCCTTACGACCGTCCTCCCCCCAAGTCACCGCACTTCCACCGTCCGCCAAGTAAGTATATATAATTCTCTAGTAAGAACCTAGACTGTTGTTTATTATTATAAAACAATGTACTGTACTGTGTTAGCCAAATTGGAGATTCAGATCAGTTGAGTGTATAATATATAACAAGAAGACATGAAGGTAGTGGTGAAGCTGGGAAAAGAGGAGGAAAATTATTATATGAAAAATGTAAGAGTGATGTTGACAGAAGAGATGAGGTGAGGTATTAGATTGAAAAGAAGTTACAGTACAAGAAATACTACTGTAGGAAAGTAGAAAATTATTACACAGTGCAGTATTAGAATTTATCTACCTTTTCTGTGATCATTAAAGTAAATAATGACAGTATATTCTTTGACACAACTGTGTTCTTACATATTCCATCTTACTATAATATAATATGTATTATTATATTCATAAGAAAGTGCTAAATTTGAATGAGTCATAGAGCACTCTTTACTGTAATAGTGTCTGGCTAATTAGTCTAATCAGTACTCTGAAACCTAGATCAGAATTTAACTACCACATTTGTACTTGAATTTACAGTGGATAGTCGAAAACTATCACTGCCCAAGACGTCTAGCAGATTAGGTATGCGAGTTTTGGTGGATCAAATGCAAGCAGAGACTCCAAGACCTAAATCTCCTCATATGAACAATGAGGAGCCCATAATACTATCACATTATCCTGGAGGACGGAAGCCAAGTTCTGGAGACGTCTCACGAATTGAGAGAGATGACTTCCCTGCCCCACCCTATCCTTACACTGATCCTGGTAAGAATATAAATATTTGTAAGTAACAATAAAGAAAATTTTGTTAGCTCTAATTAATATTATTTTTCAGGAAATTTTTTGTATTCAAATTGTCAAAAAATATTTAACCCTTAAAGTATCCAAACGTAGATCTACGTTCGGACACTTAGCGCTCCGAACGTAGATCTACGTTCGATTTTACATTCTTATGTAAAAAAAAACGTAGATCTACATTCGGAGCGCTACGCTCGCAAATGTAGATCTATGTTTGGACAGTTTAAGGGTTAATAAGGATGGTCTTTCTCATGATAATAATATTAAACAATATGGCAGAGACTAGCTTTACCAACATCATTAGCTCACTGTTTATGCCTGTTAGTGGCCTCTAAAAAGCCATAGCCATCAATATGTAGTTTCTATGACCACATTAAATTAAGGTGTTTGGCTTTCTTTATTGATCAGCAAATTTGGATCATTGCTAGTATGCAATACTTGCAGTGCTTAGTACACACACTCTGTGTACACTTTCTCAGAATACTACTTTTTTTGTTTAACTGGAATCCTCATCTTGGCAATCCACCACACGCTTAAGAATTAGCTGTGGCTTTATTCAGCCAAGATTTTTTTTTTCTTCATTTTTCTGCTTGTAAGCATGTAATTTTGTTAGGGTTATCAGCATGATTATGACCCAGGTAAGAAAAAAAAGCTTTATTTATAAAATTACTTTGCTTTTTGATATGTAGTAGTTTACCTGCCTGGCAATAATTTTCATTAATCGAGCCTTCAGCTTGGCTGTGAACATTTTATAAAACTCTTCGTCATATCCAAAAATTGAGCTTACTTGCACTGCCTATGCCATACCTTAAATTTGTTATATGCATCAGGATTGGTTACTCCTCACTGTTCAATAATTGCAGCTGAATATATAATATCTTAACAAGATGCTGCTGCATTTTCATCTTTATTTTTCTTTACAGTAAGTTTCCTGTAGCCAAGGAAACAAATGAAAGCTTAATAGGGCAGATACGATAGTGCTTTGTAGCAGCAGGGGCCATTGAAATATGGATTAGGTGTAGAGTTATGTTGTTTTGGAAAAGTTTATTGCTGATGCATATCATTGGAATAACTCCTTATCGAGAGTCCTGCTTCTCAAGATGAATGCTTTTCTGTGAAGAAATACCTCTTAAATTAATTACTTCCCTTAAATCCTTGACATTTATGAGTACACAGTACTAAATTTCTCACCTTTTTTTCAAATACTGTACTGAAATGGGTATCTAGCTGGAAGTATTTTTTTCCACAATCTGCTGGCTTTGGTCCTGTCAGTCATGTCTAAAAATATATTAGCCTACTAAAAACATATTAGTATAGGTGTAGTCCTATACTATGCAAAAGAAGGGACACGTCTACCCACCACCTGTAGTTTCTTCTTTGCCAACTATCAGTCAGGAATTAACAATAGTGCAAGAATTAACAAGGTTAAAATTTTATTAGGCTTCTATGAGCCCCAGCCATAGCTCAACCTTTGAGTTATGATAAATATGTTTTATCTGTGGTAGCTCTCAGGCATAGTTAAGCAAAGCAGTGGCAGTTTCACTGATCTCTCCACTTCTCTGTAGATAAAATTTGAAATGTCCCAGGTTCAGTCTGCTTATATTTTAACACAAAATTACAGTGGTACCTCGAGTTACGAACTTAAATCGTTCCAGAAGGCTGTTCGAGTGCCGATACCAAACGAATTTGTTCCCATAAGGAATAATGTAAATTAGATTAGTCCGTTTCAGATCCCCAAAAATACACTTACAAAAGCACTTACAAAAATACACTTACATAACTGTTCAAGTTGGGAGCTGTTTGAAACTCGAGGTACACTGTATTTCATTGTACAAAGTGTTATATTTTTATTGCATGATGGAGCTGTTATAAGGTAGTACACGGTGACATTTTTGTTTTTGTTTTTGTTTTTGTTTTTAAACAAGTTGTGGAATGTAGAGCATCATTTTGAGTCATGTGTTTGTATTCTTTACCCTTGCAACTCAGCATAACTGGTCTCTGTGCTTAAGCCATCAACAGTTTTTCCCTGGTAATTGCTCATCAGTACTTTATCCTTTATGATTTTCAATTTGGTAATGCTATTTGATTGGTATCCAAAGTAATTAGTTTCCTCTGCTCACATATCCTATCCTTGTGGTATCAGTAAAAAACACTGGAGCTGTTGTTTTATAAAATTATACCATGTACCAATTATTGCATAACCTTTCCAAGCTTTTTTATTTGCTAATTTCTCGTGTATTGTAAATTGATTGCTTGAAATAATGAGAGAATGCTAATACTACAACACCTAAATTTACAATGAATAAAATGATAAATTAATAATTAAGTTTTCATAAATTTTTGGTAAATGATCATATGTGGAATATAGAAAAAAATCATTATCAAAACTCAGGGGCACAAGTTATGCCTTGGTATATCAGACTGGACAACACAGCTAATTTATTGTGCTTTAAAAACATTGAATGTGCTGAAGACAAGAGTGCTTGCATATATGATGTACAGTTGTCACAGTTACAGTGCAAGTTTCCATTTATCATTTTGCTGGTACATTATAATTTCATTGATGTAAATGATGATAGAGGGAGCAAGGAGCTTGTGATGACTTTCTCTTAATGGTTAGCATGTTGTCTGAAATGACAGTATAAATTAAGACACTATGGTCTTTGCTAATTTATGTAGGTATATCATTTTAAATTAAAATTAATGTGTTTGATATATGAGCCAATGTGATTAAGCATTTTGTATTACACTTGACATATGAATGCTGCATAGTCTAAAAATTATCTACTGATGGTTTTGAGTACATATGTAAGTTAAAAAAGTTGTGTATCATAGATTGTAGTGGGGCATTTAGATATACTTCATGCTTTTTATTTCTTATCCTGTAGGCCATATATAGTTCTTCATTATTTTATTCATATTTAAATTAATGTCTTAATGAATACTTTTTGGTTTATCTTTCAACTGTTATTTCCAGCAAAGCTTTAGACTGCCAGTATGTGCATACCCTAGCTTGGGATTTTTATTTAAATTATTATTCTTTCTTTACCAGCTTATCAGCTATTACATATTGCTTCCAACGTTAATTCACAGCCCAAAAAATGCATTTGATTTGATCTTCTTTCTAAGATAACATTATTGATTAAGTTATGCACAAAGGAAAAATTGCTACCCTTTAAAAGCAAGTAGTGCTGTTTAGAGGGATAGCTAAGCAGTTGTAGCTGTGCATGTCTGGCAAGACAGTGATAGTGTGAGTGATGAAAGTATTTTCTTTTCGTGTCATCCTGCCTCGGTGGGAGATGGCCAGTGTGTCAAAAAAAGGAAAAAATATTTGTGGCTTCAGAAGCAGAGGTAAACATTTGGAAAAGGCATACAGTGGTACCTTGAGTTTCGGCCATAATTCGTTCCAGAAGGCTGTTCGTGTGCCGTTACCGAACAAGTTTGTTCCCATAAGGAATAATGTACATTAGATTAGTCCGTTTCAAACCCCCAAAAATACACTTACATAATTGCTTGAGTTGGGAGGTGTTCGAAACTCGAGGTACCACTGTACTATAGGGTGGAATGGGGAGCAGTGTGGCTGGGGTTGCAAATGTATGGAATAGTTGTCTAGTTGTTGAATGATGTAGCAAATTTTTGTGAAGAGAGTGAGCCTCAGGTTAGAACATGTAGGAAAAGAAGGAAATATTTTCCAGGAAAAGTGGGTTTAAGACAAGTATGGTACGTACCAGTGTTTGTTGTCACCATGGTTTATAAATGTCTTTATAGATGGGATTGTAAGAATAATGAATCTGATGTAAAATTTAAGTTGTCAGAGTTGCTTCTTGCTGATTTCAAAGTGGTTTTGGGAGATTCAGAAGATGAATTGCAGTGGTTGACAAAGGAGTTTGGGAGGGTTTGTAAAAGAAAGAAGTTGAAAGTGAAAGCCAGAAAAGAACAAATTGATGAGAGTAAGTAGATGTTTAGGGATTGAACACCACCTACACTTATTCATGTATGAATTAAAGAATAAGTTGGAACAAGCATGGACTCAAATATGCAGGGCTGCCAGTTTGGGCCTTAGTACCCCCTTACACAATTTGCTACTTTTCCAACATGGTGAAACTCGCATTCCAAGCAAGTATGCTTTTTAGAGATTGAGTAAGTCTCCTATTTTAAAATAATTGTAACAACTGATAAGTTGGTGGTGATGAAGCTTCCAGACAGTGCTACTCAAGGGATGAAATTTAGTGTGAGAGTGTGTTCATAGAATTTTGTATTGGGTTTCATTTCATAAATTTATTGCTGCATAATTTTTATTCAGGTCAGTTTATAATACTGTTATTAGATATATACTAAATTCATGTACATTTTATAATGTTTAGAAGCTACTACAGTACAGTATTTACCTATTAATTTTATGGCTGACTCATTCCATCCTGAGCAGTTCTTTTTATTTACCCTCTATGAAAAAAAAGCATCAAGCCCCTTGAGAGGTTTGAATGTAGGGTTTGGCATAGCCAAATTCTTAGGAAAGACAGTGCCTTAAAAATCATATTTTTACATGTTGTACTTTCAAATACAGATTCACAATAGTTTCATCATTATAGTCTAATTATGAGCCACACAAATTGTTTTGTGGAGTTATACCTTAAATTCATATAAGAACATAATTAAGTTCCTCTAGTGCCTTCAGTAACTTGTTATCATCACAAGAGATTAATTCATTAATCATCCCTTGAGTGGTATCTTGATTGTTGCTCCTCTTGGTTTTTCCTAAATGCTTTACATCGAGACCCCCAGCCAGTGTTGTGTGTTGTGCTTACATGTTTTAAACTAACCATCATGATGGGTGTGGCCGTGGCCTCACTGGCAGATGTTTCAGAGCGGCGGCGCAGATGGTCAGGCAGTAATAAAGCTGTCAGCATCGATGAAACTGACGAAGGCACTGAAATAGACGAAGACTCTGTGGCTGAAGATCCTAAATTAAAGGTATGAGTGCAAGTCACCAAATGATGATAATGGGGTCCTTTGCAGAATTTTAACTTTGGGTGTTTTATGATGTACACTATTTCCTTTTGTGTTTTAAAAGGTGTTAGCAGTAGTCAGGTTACCAAGACTAATTTTTTTTGTTAATCCTAGAATCTTGTAATTTTATGTGTCTAGATTGATAATTCAGTGGGTGCCACTCTGTCACCTTTGATTAATTTAAAAAATTCAGTTGGAGATCTTCAAAACATTTATAAGTTGGTGAGGGCTCAGAAAACAATCATGAAAAACAGAAGTTAACTGTATATAAATAAAAGTTTGGAGGATCAGTTGATATCTGCTCCCTTCTGGAAAGACAACTACAGTGGTCCCCTGCTTTTCGTAGTTCCCGGCAATTGTAAATTTCACCAATCATAGGGGTATTTTCATATAAACATGGACTCGCTTTTCATAGGTTGACTCGCGAGTTGTAGTTCGTCCGGGACGCGTACGCACGGCGTGAGCCAGGGCGGCAGCCAGTCTGGCATTGTTTACCAGTGAGCGAAGGTCCCCTCACGTGCTCCAGCGAAATATTTCATAATATTCCATTTATTTTAGTGCTTGCAAGTACTAAATAAGCTACCATGGCTCCAAAGAAAGCTTCTAGTGCCAAGCCTGTGGTAAAGAAGGTGAGAAATACGATTGAATTTAAGAAAACCATCATTGAACAATATGAAAGTGGTACAAGTGTGGCCGAACTGTCCAGGATGTATAAGAAACCCTACACAACCTTATGTTCCATAGTGGCCAAGAAAAAGGAAATAAAGGACGCTGTTGTTGCAAAGGGAGTAACTATGCTGACAAAAATGAGATCACCAGTACTGGAAGAGGTTGAGAAGTTATTATTGGTGTGGATAAATGAGAAACAATTAGCAGGAGCTACTCTTATGACTTCGATTATTTGTGAAAAGGCTAGGCAGTTGCATGAAGATTTGGTAAAGAAATTGCCTGCAAATAGTGGTGATGTGAGTGAATTTAAGGCCAGCAAAGGCTGGTTTGAGAGATTTAAGAACCGTACTGGCATACACAGTGTGGTAAGGCGGTGAGGCTGCCAGTTCGGACCACAAGGCGGCTGAAAAATATGTGCATGAATTCCAGGAGTACATAGAGGCTGAAGGGGGTTTTGACATGCTCAGCGCGAACGAAAAATTTTTTCCGAAAAAAATTCACAAACTGAGTTAATCTTATAGAAAAATAGCTTAACTCTCTGGCAACACAATGGTACCAGAATCATTGTTCTACGACATTCCTACAAGGAATTATGGTCATTTAAATACACCTAGGGTGACGTCACCACCCGCGGCAGGTGTGCTCACCTGTCGTCAATTTATTTTTTTTTTTTCCGTTTTTTTTTCGTGTATTTACTGTATTATTCTTTCTAAGATAATAATTGACGATTTGGTATCATAATACAGTGGGTGGGACTTATACGTAGAGTTCCAACCAACCAGGAACCTCCCGACACCATTTTGCTGACGTCATGGAAAATTCCAGTCTCGGGGTGGCCGGGGAATATGGCTCAATAAACGCTATTATAGCTTCTACGGCTTATTTATCTATCACAATTGATCTAATATGACATAATAAACAATATAAATAACAAAGAAGTATGGTAAATACTCCAGAATGAATAATATATGGAATATTCCCAGAGCGCTCCATCGGGAATAATAGATTCCCATTCTCAGAGAGGGGCTTCCATTCTCTTTCTCTCACCTCCAGGGTCCTTATATTAGAGAAAACGAACATGGTTAACTATGATATACACTCGTAATGCAGTATAAGACTGAGAAAAATGTTATTTTCTCGAAAAAAAAAAAAAAAAAGGTGGTCCGGCTGTTTCGCGGATTATCTCGGAAGTAAGTTATTCACATATATGAGCAAGTAACTTCGTTAATAATAGCAGGAATGTAATGAAATTCACAGAGAACATAAAGGAAAGATTGTTTTACAAGCCCATGGATCGCTTTTTGAGATATCATAATTTGTTTTTGATTTTTGTGAGGGCAAAAGTCAGATATTTGGCTGAAAGTCAAAAAACATACAAAATTTATTTTTTTTAAGAATGAAGAAAGGATAAATTACAGAATGGCTAACCATTAGAAATACAGTTTAGCATTGTTTTATGCGTAGATAATGCCAAAACAACTTCTCCAAGTCCCACTTCGACGGTACCTTGCAATATGTATGATTATTAGTAAATAATTTTTTTCTCAGTTGTTTTTTGAGCTATCTTATTGAAACTTGGTCACATTACTATTGAAAGGTGCTTCTTTACGTACAAAAAAAATGAAAGAAATCGAACGAAAAATAAAAAAAAAAATGTGTTACCCTTCAATTCCCCCTGAAGGACTGAAATGTGAACAAGTGTTCAATTGTGACGAAACAGGCCTCTTTTGGAAGAAAATGCCAGAGGACCTTCATTACACAAGAGGAAAAGGCAATGCCAGGACACAAGCCTATGAAAGACAGGCTGACGCTAATGTTCTGTGCTAATGCTAGTGGGGATTTCAAAGTGAAGCCATTACTAGTGTACCATTCTGAAAATCCCAGAGTGTTCAGGAAAAACAATGTTATGAAGAGTAAATTGTGTGTGTTTTGGAAATCTAATAGTAAGGCATGGGTCACGAGGGAAATTTTCGTTGAGTGGTTCAATGAAGTGTTTGGCCCTAGTGTGAAGGAGTATCTCCTGGAAAAGAAATTGGATCTCAAGTGCCTGCTAGTAATGGACAATGCACCTGCTCATCCTCCAAACTTGGATGACCTAATTTTCGAGGAGTTTGGGTTCATCACAGTAAAGTTCTTGCCCCCGAATATCACTCCTCTCCTCCAACCCATGGACCAGCAGGTTATTGTAAACTTTAAAAAACTCTACACAAAAGCAATGTTTCACAGGTGCTTGACTGTGACCACAGACACTCACTTGACCCTAAGGGAATTTTGGAGAGAACACTTCAGCATCCTCCATAGGTATGGCTTGGGAGGGAGTGACTACCAGGACTTTGAACTCTGCCTGGAGAAAATTGTGGCCAGATTGTGTCGACAAGAGGGATTTTGAAGGATTTGGGACTGACCCTAATGAGCCTATGTCTGTTGTAAAATCAATTGTGGCACTGGGGAGTTCCATGGGGTTGGATGTGAGTTTGGAGGATGTGGAAGAATTGGTGGAAGACCACAATGAAGAGCTCGCCACTGAGGAGCTGCAAGAGCTTCAGCAGGAAGAGCAACACATCACAGCTCAGAATCTTGCTGCAGAGGAGGAGGAAGAGAGATGGAAGAAGGTGCCTTCTTCAGAAATTAAAGAGATTTTTACTATGTGGAGTAAGATGGAAAGCTTTATGGAGAAACATCACCCTAACAAGGTTGTTGCAAGCCAGGTTGGCAACATGTACAGTGACAAAGTCTTGGGCCATTTTAGGGAAGTGTTAAAGAGACGCCAGAAACAGAGCTCTCTCCACAGTTATTTTGCGAGACAGGACTCCAGTGACTCTCAAGGTGGTCCTAGTTGCATTAAGAAACAGAGAAGAGAAGCAACCCCAGAAAAGCAAATGGTACCCGAGGTGTTGATGGAAGGGGATTCCCCTTCCAAACTATAAACAATCCACTCTCTCTCCTCCTCCAGTCTCCCATACACTAAGAAGAATCTCCAATAAAGGTAAGTGTTATGCTGTTAATGTTTCATTCATTTCCCATTGTATTGTTTATGTACTATATGTACAGTGGACCCCCGCATAACGATTACCTCCGAATGTGACCAATTATGTAAGTGTATTTATGTAAGTGCGTTTGTATGTGTATGTTTGTGGGTCTGAAATGGACTAATCTACTTCACAATATTTCTTATGGGAACAAATTCGGTCAGTACTGGCACCTGAACATACTTCTGGAGTGAAAAAATATCGTTAACCGGGGTCCACTGTATATTTCATGTAAAAAAATTTTTTGTTTTAATACTTCTGGGTGTCAGGAACGGATTAATTGCATTTACATTATTTCTTATGGGGAAAATTGATTCGTAAATCGTAAATTTCGTTTATAGTAACAGCTCCAGGAATGGATTAATTACGAAAAACGAGGGACCACTGTATTGAATGACCGAAATTTTGTACGTGGAAATTGGGTTATGTGGATAAAAAATGCAATAGTTACAAATTCTAATAAATTATTTTTACCCCAAAACAGAGAGAGGAAGTAGAATTAAGTAAGATAGCAACTGGCATTGGTAAAGTGTTCCTTCAACAAGTAAAAGAAAGAGAAAAGATTCGAGCATGGAAAGCCACCCACCTTGACCCACGCAATGCCTCGAGAACACCAGCTGCTGACCGCGAGCCTGGGAATAAATTACGTTTTGGGTCATCTCTTAACGCATGTAAGTTGTTCATATTCTTGTAAAAATAAACAGGTACTGCATTGTACTGTGTAATATAGTGTGAACTTTTCTTCTTGGACGTGCACTCTTTAAATTAAAAATTAATGGAAGCACCATGACATTTTGTACTGGGTATAGACATGTTGATCAGACAAGCACCAGTGTAGAATGAGGTGGGGTGTGGTGATATTAAAGATACAGTAATTCAAATAACACAAAATGGGTTGTTGAAATAGTTTTCTTAAGTAGAAAAAAAAGGAGAACTATAGGTTAACTAAGAGGGTGTATAGCTTAAATAGAGTAAAGGAGGTTTAAGGTATGTGTCCAAGGAAGGATTTGAAGGAGTGTGTGAAAGAGGTATTATAAGAAGTTGGAACAGAAACAGTTTGCAGGCATTTCTGAACATGTTACATTCAAGTGAGTGTTTTTTTTATTTTAGGTATTGATGTGGTGTAAAATTGCAGACAATAAGGGAATCTGGTTAGCTAGACTTGATTTTTGGAGATAGTAAGAACAATGTATTTTGAAAGCCACACTTCAAGGTGATGCTTGTGAAAGGCTCTTGATTAAGCTACCATGAAAGATGAGGTGAATCATAGAATTGATGAGGGAAAAAGAGTGAGTGGTGCACTTAGGAGTCTGTGGAGACAAAGAACTTTGTCCTTGGAGGCAAAGAGGGGAATGTATGAGAGTATAGTTTTACCAACGCTCTTATATGGGTGTGAAGCGTGGGTGATGAATGTTGCAGCGAGGAGAAGGCTGGAGGCAGTGGAGATGTCATGTCTGAGGGCAATGTGTGGTGTGAATATAATGCAGAGAATTCGTAGTTTGGAAGTTAGGAGGAGGTGCGGGATTACCAAAACTGTTGTCCAGAGGGCTGAGGAAGGGTTGTTGAGGTGGTTCGGACATGTAGAGAGAATGGAGCGAAACAGAATAACTTCAAGAGTGTATCAGTCTGTAGTGGAAGGAAGGCGGGGTAGGGGTCGGCCTAGGAAGGGTTGGAGGGAGGGGGTAAAGGAGGTTTTGTGTGCGAGGGGCTTGGACTTCCAGCAGGCATGCGTGAGCGTGTTTGATAGGAGTGAATGGAGACAAATGGTTTTTAATACTTGACGTGCTGTTGGAGTGTGAGCAAAGTAACATTTATGAAGGGATTCAGGGAAACCGGCAGGCCGGACTTGAGTCCTGGAGATGGGAAGTACAGTGCCTGCACTCTGAAGGAGGGGTGTTAATGTTGCAGTTTAAAAACTGTAGTGTAAAGCACCCTTCTGGCAAGACAGTGATGGAGTGAATGATGGTGAAAGTTTTTCTTTTTCGGGCCACCCTGCCTTGGTGGGAATCGGCCAGTGTGATAATAAAAAAATAAATATTCTTTCCTCAGATTGAACCTTATTATCTCCTATATTTCAAGCAATACAGTAGGGCTCCACTTATATGGCAGGTTAGGTTCCAGGCTACCGCCGTAAAGGGGAAATCGCTGTAAAGTGGAACACCCTTTTTTTCCCTTATAAATGCATACAAGTACTAGATAACAAGTTTACACTAACATATATTAAGTTAGCAATAGAACTAGGCATCAAAAAACAATAAAAAAAGTACAATACACACATAGTGCACTCATAACTTACCTTAAAATATTTATAGTCTTAATCTAAGGTGAGACAGATAGTATTTATTGTAAGAAATCAAGTGTGGTATGTATCGTAGTCAGCTGGGCTACCATACCAGGCCATCCCGCCTATACATAATATTCTATTACATTTAAGCATCCCAGAGTGATAAAATGCATATACAGTTTACTCATTACTTACCTTAAAATATTTGTAGTCTTAATCTAGGGTGAGATGAGTAGTATTTATTGTAAGAAATCAAGTGTGGGATGTATGGTAGTGAACCGGGCTACCATACCAGGCCAACCCACCCACACATACTATTCTATGATATTTAAGCATCCCAGAGCGATAAAATGCATATACAGTTCACTCATTACTTACCTTAAAATATCTGTAGTCTTAATGTAGGGTCAGGAGTGAGTAAACGAGATACGAATAAATGAGAGAGAGAGAGAATGAGGACATGAGGGAGGACAGGCACAGAGTTATGTATACAAACCAGGCAAACGTAAGTTTTGTAAACAAACAAAGTGTACACGTCTGGTTTGTGTACAAGTTACATTGTGTACAAGTTGTCTCTACATCGACACAGTAGAATAAATAAAGCATTCCCATTCTCATGTAACACCATTTTTATAAGAAATGATGCTCTGAGTGAAGGCAATGGAAATAAGTCACTGACTTTTTTGGGTTATCCTAGGTTCTCTACACATATGCTGTTATGTATGATAATCTGTGTAAGTGTATTTGTGTATACCTGAATAAACTTACATAGATACAAAAGGAATAATTTTCTACAGTTACCCCCAGTAACACATTTTCTCTTATGTTAGATTAGAGAAAATGTTATTCTTGCCATCACTTGTACAAGTTATCTGGCTACGACATCTCATATTTATGTTTATTTATTCTATTGTGGGGTGTATTTATCATCTTTATATGTTATATATCGTGTTTATTTACGGCTTTACGTTCAGGGTCCAAACCGTAGTTCTACGTCATGAGCTCAGCTCACTCTGATAAACTGTGAGTGGTACATTTGGGCCTAGATATGAGAGAATACATCTATGTGGTATGTGTGCACCCCATAAAACAGATCCTGCAGCACGCTGTGTATAATGAGAGAAAAAAACTGAAATCATGATTTTTCGATTAAAACAGCGACTTTGGAAGACATATTACAGAAATAGACATGATTTTGATTGGTTTTAGCACTGGAAATGGCTTGAAACTGAGCTCAAAGTAGCAGAAATGTTAAATTTTTGCCGATATTCAAGAGTAAACAAACGACCTCACACGTCTAATACACGCCAGCTGGTGGGTCTAATATGCATTCACAAATATGGTGATGATATTTATACAATTATTACAGTATTGCATAACAGTAAATCTTCTATTTTTTGGTGTGAATAAAAATTCGTTATGTGAATAAAAAATAAAAATGGAATTTATTTGTAAAGCCTCAAAACGTAACTAATGAACAGGGGAAATGTTAGTTTAGTTCCAGAAATACCTACATTGTTTATTCTGGACCCTATTTTGAAATTGGAATATTTTGAACTTTGTGTTAAATTGGCCAAATTAACAATTTCCGATCACTTTAATTTGTAGTTGAAACAGTTGACTTGGCGATTTCTTCTGCTCAATCGATAGAATAGAAGTAATACTAGTGAAATAGCTAAGAATTTGGTTGACTGGAATAATGTAATTGGCCTAAAATGGGAGTCAAAGTCGGCAAAATCGCCGATTCGTAAATATCGCTGACACATCAAAATTCGCGAGAGCATAATTTCGTCAATTTTCCATCAAATTTCGTACTTTTTGTTTTATTACTTTCACAAAAAGATTCTCTACCATTTCATAAGAAAAAATAACAAATTTTTTTTTTTAAATTCTTGGACACTGGGGCACCACTTCAGATTTGGGCCTTGGACCCTGAAGGGGTTAAATGAGACTCGGTGATTATTATTATCATTACTGATATGACCTCTCGAGACATAAGACACTGATTTTAATGTGTACCTGCATGCCAGCACGGTATGTAAGTTTATTTAGGTATAAGTACAGTGGACCCCCGGTTAACGATATTTTTTCACTCAAGAAGTACGTTCAGGTGCCAGTACTGACCGAATTTGTTCCCATAAGGACTATTGTGAAGTAGATTAATTCATTTCAGACCCCTAAACATACACGTACAAACGCACTTACATAAATACACTTACATAATTGGCCGCATTCGGAGGTGATCGTTATGCGGGGGTCTACTGTATACATAAGTATAATTATCAGAGTATATATAAAATATGAAATAACTTTTAAGAACACTTGAAATTTTGGAGTTTCCAGACATAATGGAGAGACTTAGTGCTTACGGATCTCACGGAGAATGTAAACAAACCAGGTTGGGCGCGGTGACCGTATTAGAAAGTCAGGTGGGGGGAGCCGTATAGCGAGTTTTGGTCATAATTTGAAATGACCGTATTAGCAGAACGTCGTAAAGCGAAACGCCATAAAGCGGGGCCCTACTGTATATGATCCCTACTGGTTTAGCATTTATCAATGAATAAAATGATAATTTGAAAGTCCAGTGAGGTATGTTGTGGTTTTGTAGTCAATTGTACCAGGAGTCTGAGCTAGGGAGCATGAGATGGTGAAATGTATTTTTCTTTTTTTTTTTTGGGGGGGGGGGGGGAACCCTGCCATGGTGGGAAATGGCCATTGTTTAAAAAAAACATACATATGTACTGTACAGTTGTCCCTCGATAATCGTAGGGCTCAAGAGTCGTAGATTTCAGAAATCATAGCGATATTTTCGTATAAACATGGGCTCGCTAATCGTAGATTGACTTGCGAATAGTAGTTCGTCCGGGACAGGTACACACAGCCCCGAGCCGCCTCACACTCCATTCCCAGCCAGTGTGCCATTGTTTATCAGTGAGTGAGGATGATCCCACGAGTTCATACGATACATTTCATAATATTCGATTCGTTTTAGTGTTTGCAACTGCTAAATAAATCACCATGGCTCCAAAGAAAGCTTCTAGTGCCAGCCCTTTGGTAAAGAATGTGAGAAACACATATAATTTAAGAAAAAATTTGTAGAAAAATATGAAGGTGGTGGTAGAGTGGAAGCAGTTGTGATAGTGGTTGATGGTGGTAGAGGGTGGTAGTGATGGTGGTAGCAGTTGTAATAGTGGTAGAAGGTGGTAGTGATGGTGGTAGAGGGTGTCTTCTTCAGTGATTCAGCAATTCTACCAACTCCTCCAATGTTGTTGGGGTCATATAGGGCTACAGAAAACACCGCCGCCTCAGCTGCTGCTTCACCACCATTATGGACGGCTTACTCTCAGTGGCCCTTATATATCCAACAACAGCACAACACAACACCTC